TGAAATGTCAGCCTTGCACTCCGTGCTGGAATCGCTGCACACGTTATAGAAATGCCCTTCTTTCTGTCCCCCAAGTTCTTACAGCAAACACTGACCAAAACTGATCCCAGATTCCTCCCTGGGAGACCCTGCTTAATGTGTCCTTCCTCTTCAGCAGCAAAGACCTAAAAAACAGGCTTTTGTTAGCGAGATCCTTACAGACTATTGTACAAAATCCAAAACTCTCCTACTGTCACTGTGGCCAGTAAAACCTGTCACCTCCCTGCTACCTGCAAAGGCTGAGAGCCTGCTCAGAAACCTCTCCAAAGTCAAATAAAAACCCTGTGCAATATCAGGGAGCAGCAGCCAAGCTGCCAGCCCCAGTCGCTGCCAGCCCTCTCCAGAACTTCTGTTCAACAGCTCCGGCTGAGGAATATCAGCACGACTATTTCTGTGTGCCCACACAATCCTGAACCACCGTCCAATTTAGTTTCGGGGGAAAAAAAAAAGGTGTTTTGCTAAAATTACCATAGTATAGATTTTTCATTTGTATTACCATAGCAACAAAGGACTTGGCTGGGAGCGAGACCCCGCAGTGCCCCGGGTGAAGGGCACAGCGCCCGCAGGAGCAGCCAGCCCTTGTCCCTTTGTGGGGACTGTCCCCATCACCTGCAGGACATTCCCTCCAGGAGCGGTGTCCCGGCAGGGAAGGGAGCTCAGGGACAGCGGTACCGCCGTGTCTGTCCCCGCGGGGGGACACAGCACACGGGATGGGAGCGGCTCGCTCGGGACTGAGACACAGCCGGGGACTCCCGAACCCGCAGTGAGCTTCAGCCCGCTGCTTTCAAACGGAGATCACACCCACACAGAGGAACTTCCACCCAGATGTCAAACTAATGTCATTTAAAAGTAGAGCCGGGCAGTATTCTCCAAGTCTGTGACAAGCCCGGGGAGCTGATTGCGGGCAAGGGTGCCCCGGGAACAGAGCACGGGCTCGGCTCTCCTGGAGCCTCTGCGCCCGTCGGGGAGTGAGCTGGGATGGGATTTATGCTTTCATGGACACTCGTAATCCCCCTTGTCCAAGCACAGAACCCACGCTCTGCACGGCAGGGACACAGCGGCAGGGGTTCCCCGCGGCCGGGATGCTCGGGGTACTCGGGATGCTCGGGATGCTCGGGGTGCTCGGGATGCTCGGGATGCTCGGGATGCTCGGGGTGCTCGGGATGCTCGGGGTACTCGGGATGCTCGGGATGCTCGGGATGCTCGGGATAGCCGG